CTGTACCATCGTGACCCCACGGTGACGGCGCATGTGTTGTTCACGGTCGCACACGCTTGGACGCACCGCGCTGTGTTCACTGATGGGACTCGATGCGTCTGGTGTTCAGCCAGGTGGAAGCGTTCGGACTGGGCGAGGTCAGGAGGTCGGCGGTACACGTCTTGGTGGGGGCGAACCTGTAAATGAAAGATTAATGCTCAGAGTGTGAATCTGGCCGAGTGTGTGAGGCACAGCTCAGGGCTCGAACAGCACTTGGGCCGGAGACAATCGGCCACAACAGTGTGTGTCGTGTCCTATTGTGGGCCTCTGTTCACGGCAGCTTACTGAGAACACACAAGCTTTAAAATCCAACTCTGTGGTCTCGTCGTAACTCTCTTATGACTGTCAAACAGGCACATGTGGCTCTAACAGCTGCACAGGACTGATCTTCTCAACACACGTGCTGCTATACTGTTTATCTCTTTATTTTGCTAAATCCAGCCATGATTTCTTCCTGCAGCAGAAAATAACGTATAGCAGGTGTTTTATTTAATTATCCACTGGTCTCTGAAATCGTCTTCCATGCACACTTTCCTCAGCTGCAAGATGTCTGAGGGTTTCCTTGGACTCATTTCAAACCTCCCTCAATAATTCAGTGAGATTCAAATTTTGGCCTTTGCTTTTCTTGACTCTGTCCATCCATCCGTCCGTCCATCCATCCATTCATCCGTCCATCCATCCATCCATCCGTCCATCCGTCCGTCCGTCCATCCATCTGTCCATCCGTCCATCCGTCCATCCATCCATCCCTCCATCCATCCATCCGTCCATCCATCCGTCCGTCCGTCCATCCATCCATCCGTCCATCCATCCATCCGTCCGTCCATCCATCCATCCATTCATCCGTCCATCCATCCATCCGTCCATCCGTCCGTCCGTCCATCCATCCATCCATCCATCCATCCATCCCTCCATCCATCCATCCATCCGTCCGTCCATCCGTCCATCCATCCATCCATCCATCCATCCATCCATCCGTCCGTCCATCCGTCCGTCCGTCCATCCATCCATCCATCCGTCCATCCATCCGTCCGTCCATCCATCCATCCATCCGTCCGTCCATCCATCCATCCATTCATCCGTCCATCCATCCGTCCATCCATCCGTCCGTCCGTCCGTCCGTCCGTCCGTCCATCCATCCATCCATCCATCACCCTCCGTTTCTCTTTTCTGAGACACCTCTTGGTGGACTTGCTGGAGACCTTAGAACCATCATCCTGTTGAAGGTTCACTTCCTCTTCAACTTTCAGAAAGATGACCTCATGATATCTTCAAGCACTCTTTGATATGATCCAGAATTCACTGCTTTCCACCACCATGCTTCACATGTTTCACTTTTAATATTATGAATACGGCTGATATATGATATGTATCAGTGGCTGAACAGTCTGAAGCCTGCCTGAGCTTTGTGGTATTTTGCCTGTGTTTCATTTTTATTCTTACGTAACCCTGTTCCAGTTTATCCCAGGGCCACCAAGTTGTTACATAAATGAAGATATCATTATTAAGCTATATTTAATCACTGTTGGAGGAGCAGAAGCTAAACAGACATGCAGCCTCTCAGGTCTGTTCACAGAACAAACCGTTTTTATTACTGTCTTGGTCCAACGGAGAATGAAGATGGACAAACAAACAGACCTTCACTCTCACTGTTCCACATCAGCTTACAGTTTAAAAACATTTCTACCAGTAATGTGTTATCCACTTGGACCTGATCCTGTTGAATACCAGCTCCTCTGTGATGGTGAGATTCCTGATGTGTGCTTTTTGTGTTCTGCTTGCAGATATTTGGACAGTTTTTTTTTAACAGTTAAATTAACTTTTTTTATTGAAGATCTTCTTACCATCATAAACTATCGTCTCCAGGTGGGCGTATTTCCTGCTGCTTTTAAGACATCCATCTGTTTGATCTCACTGACTGCTCGTCCAAAACCTATACAATGAATTATGGTGTTCCTCATGGTTCAGTTTTAGGTCCTATTTAATTTGTATGTGTTGCCGCTTGGAGACACAGCATCAGTTGCACTTCATGTCTCGTACTGATCTGAGGTCAGCTGATGCTCTTTTTAACTGTACGTTAGATAATAAGCGCTGGATGGTGGAGAACTTTTTACAGCTCAACCAGGACAAAAGTTCTGGTCATTGGTTCAGATTAATTCACATCTAGTGTTATAACAACAAGTTAAAGCTCTTTGTTGAAAATAAACCAAGATAGCTTTTTATCATTTGACTGCACTCAGTCCTCTCTCAAACAGACACAGAGGCACTAATTCATGCTTCTATTACCAACTGACTGCTGTATCGCCCTCATCTGGTCTCTCTGAGAAGACTCCATGTCGACTGCTTCATGAGTGCCGACCAGGACCAGGAGGAGAGCTCACATCACTGATGTTAAAGTCTCGGCGTTGGTTACGTGTCTCTTTTAGAATTGACTTTAAGATTCTTTTATTGGTTTATAAAGCTCTTAATGGTCCTTTCTGTCTGTCAGATCTGCTTTTATCTAGTGAACCCTCTGGAAGCTTCGGGTCTTCTGGTCTTGACTTTTCATTTAAACCCAAAGTGAGAACAAAAACCAACAGCGAGGCAGCGTTTTGCTCTTTTGGCCCTCGTCTCTGAAGCAGCCTTCCAGACAGCGCTGATGCTTTTAAAGGCAAACCCACGACCTGGCTTTGTTAGTCAGGCTTCTGATGAAACAACTTTTAATTATCGATTTCTGTTTATTCACTTATTTACATATTTCAGTTTATTCAATGCTCTGTTTATTTATTTATTTTTTTATTCTGTTGTCTATCTATATTTTAATACCAGATATTTTCTTTTCATTTTTACTGTTTATTTATCTTATTTTATTTTATCTTATGTTCCTCAGTCAGACTGAGGGTTGGGGGGTTGTTCGTTGCTGTTTCACTGCATGTCTCATTATAAATAAAGTCTGACTGATTGATTGATATTTGGACGGTTTGATGCCGTCTTTTAAGTCTGACTGAATTCTAATTGCCACACAACTCGACTAAATGGTCAGATTGACTCAAAGCAGGCAGAACAGATGTTAAAGAGGATAACTTTTCTATTTTTTTATTTGTCATAAATCTGAGCATTTCACTAAGAATATTAAACAGTCGGTACCTCGGCCGGATAAGACGGCGTCCCGTGAACAGGGGCTGTAGTTCCTCGATGTGGCGGTCGTGGGTTCGAATCCCGCTCACGGTGCTTTGCTGCAGGTCTCTCCTCGTTCTTCTCCAACCTTAAAAATAAAAAAGGCAAAAAATAAACTTGTAAAAAAAGAAATAAATGAAAAATTAAACAGTCAAACTCTTTGAGCTTTTCTCTTGAAATTTAAAAACAACCATTGATCTAAGATTCATGAAGACGTGTTGGAGACTCGTGGTGCTGCTGGATGTGAGCGTTTCATGATGTGAAGGTGTTTGAGGCCCAGAAAGCCGGTGGACTGCTGTCAGGACTGTGGCTCAGGTGAAACTGAACCGTTTGGACCTTAGAGCCGCTGGCGCTGCAGTAAACGTGGTCGTGGTTGTCATTGTGTGTGGAGCAGCAGTCAGATGGAGGACAGTAGATGGTGTAATGTGGCTGGCAGGCTGTGGAGCTGTTGGCAGCAAAGTGCAGCAGCTGTCACAGTTTGAAATTACACTTGAGTTTGGTAACACGGATATAGAAAACAGATTAGCTTTAAAACTCAAACAGATAATAATGCTTCAGGGCTAAAGGGTTCTCTGTAAACAGAAGCTCTGAGCAGGAGTTCCCCACAACACTACGAGTCCACCAACCTACAGTTCATGTGCTCAGGTTGTGTCAGTGGAAGTCAAGTTGGGAAACATCCAGAGGAATCCAAAGAGAACACGTTGAGCTCAGCAGACATGTGGAGCTGCTGATCGGCATGATGCTGGAAGCCCTGAATGAACATGAACTGTGCTCTGCTCTCGTCTCTATTCTGATCCAACCCGTTCTAGTCTTCTGTCGACGCCACAGCAGCCACGTGAAAGTACGACAACTTCAGTCATTTGTTTAATGAATATTTACACTTCATAAACCTTAACGCTGAGCTGATGAGGAGCTCTGATAATTGAGTTGTTGACTGCTGATAGAAGCAGAAGCAGTCTGACATTCCAGCTGTTTCAGGTCGATGTGGCAGAAGAGCAGCGTTTCCTCTTGCCTTTAAGTTTAAATTCACACAGGAAAGTTTCCCACCTGCCGCCTACAACTCAACCATGTGTTTTTTTCAGTAACAACTCATCTGTGTGCATCAGAACCTGTTTGTATGTCTCTGTAGCAGCACAGAGCTCCACTGTTGTCCAGTAATAGTATCCAGTCTGCATCAGGGATGGATGGAACTGTGAACATTAAGTCTTTCAACAATGAGTAGCTTTGGCTTGAAAGTCATGATCGGATATGGTTCTGATTAATCACTCATAAATTCTTAAGTAGACTTAAAGGGGTGTCGTCATTGTTGTCTTAGCGAATGCTGCTAACTGTTAGCAGCGAAAACGCTAGCGAATAGTAGCGTTAGCAGCGAAGACGACGGTAGTGAAACTCCAGTGCTTGTTGTTATATATATATTGTATTTTCCCGTTACGAAAACAATTTGCAGCGTAATTTTTTCAGGCAGCAGCGTAGCGGCCGTTACTCTGTTATGATCCTGGAGAGAACCCTGTATGCAATTATTATTATTATTATTATTATTATTATTATTATTTGCATAAGTTATTTCATGACTGAATGACTTGCCAAACAAACAACAAAAAAAACAGACGGTCCTCAGCTTATGCACACACACACACACACACACACACACACACACACACACCTCTCTGCCGTATGCTTCTGTGTGTTTTACAGCTGTGTGTGCACAGATGGAGCTCTGAGCCGTGTGACAGAGTGAGAACATGGTGCTGCCAACACAAATCCACGCTCTCTCACACTCTCTCCTCTCTTTTTGTCTCAACCAGATCACAATCACGGAGACTGTTCTGTTCCTGGTCCAGTACACATCCAAAGAGTTCGACCGGTCAGAGAAGACGCTGGCCACCGGAGACTGCTGTTACCTCAACCCACTGGTGCGCCGGACCTTCCGCTTCCTCGGTGAGTCAGCGGCACCGGTCTGGATAGTGATCTCTGCAAATGCGTGTTTTAACTCTGCTACATGCTTTTAGGTGCACAGATGAATTCAACATTCGAACATTGAACATTTTTCTGTGAGCGTGGGTGAACACAGGCTGCAGGTGTAAAGTTTGTCTGTGTTTCCCTGAAATACACCAGCCACGTTTCTGTGGTATACGTTGTGTCTCGCCCAAAACCCTCATTAACTTGGAGCACAAGCTTGACTCTGAGTAAGCTGATGGGCATTCAGAGAAGACCTCGTTTAGGTTCCAGAAGACTTAGATATAATAGCACTGTTAGCATTTCTCTGGAACCTTCAGCTGCAACTGAAATGCAAATGTGGAATTAGCTTATTGGTCACTGAGACCATGAAGCCACTGTATTATCACTTCTGGTTGGTTATTAGTGGATGTACCTGCAGTCAGTGGTGTGCGATACGGTGGAGCTGCATGCAGAACAATCCTCCTTCTGATGAAACACTCACACACAGTCTCGGTCTGTCGAACACACACTCTGCAGCACAGCTCTGGCCTTCTCTCCTCCTTCAGTGAGAGCTCGAGATAAAGCTGCAGAAGAGGATTATTACCTACATCCCAGAGGGGGAATCCACTTGGTGACCCGGCTTTACCCTCACATTAACACATCCTGCAGGAGATTCACCCTGGCATTAACGCTAACAGGCCTCTCAATGAGGGCTAAATGCCTTTTATCATTAGAGACTGGTTGGAATTAGTCATCATGTATTATACACCGGTACAGCGCGGTATCAGAATGAAGCTCGTGTCTTCGTGTTAATTGACTCAGACCGGTTTCAGGTTTCAGCTGCTGAGCTTCTTTGTACCTCAGCGCTTCCTCGGCCGACAGAGAGCTGCAGCGAGGATCCCACCAGCCCTGCTCCAGGAAACATTCATCCAAAGTGCTGCATGCAAGATGTTGAACATGAATGTAGCATTAATATAGCAGCACTGTCTTCTGTTTAAAGATGTAGCATGTATGATGTGATCCGAGCTTTTCTGGTCTGGCCACATGTGCACGTCAGTGTTAGTGCACGGGAGACTTTCCAGTTAAACTGCCGGCTCTCCCCACGCTTGTAAATAGAGCGAGAGTCACCACCTAACTGCATTAAAAGAGCGAAAGTGCACTAAAAATCCCAAGAATTTAAAAATAAATCATTTGATTTATCTAACATACCTCAGTGATGTTCAGCTCTGTTCTTTCCAAGTCTCACAGCGTTTCTGAAGCTCTGTTCTGCTTCTCATTCTCTAATCGTGGCCAAAATGTGGATTTGTTTTGATCTGAGGTGCTCCAACAATATGTCATGCTTCTGAAAGGTTGCACACAGAACCTTTAAAGAAACATGTTTGATTGTTCTCGTTTTATGCTAAAAGAGAGGAGCCGGTTCAACACTGAGAATTAAATGTGAAAAAGAATAAACAACTAACAGCACTAAGTCAGATGAAGCTTGAGATATAATTTTCCAGGTTCCATCATGGGATGGGGTCTATTTGTGGGCAAATTAGTGAAAGTCGACGGTATCATGAACAGGAACGTCTACCACAACACCTTAGATCATCATGGAATCTCTTCTGACTGGACCTGATTGGTCACAGGTTCATAGACAACGAGCCCAGCAGAGTGCAAAGGTGAGCAGAGACGGTTTGACCAAGAGGAAGCAATCTGGAGTTCTGGAACTGATGGACTGGACAAGTCAAAGATTGATCACACAAAAGTTTCATCTAAAGCAAGTCTGTGGGAACATCTAGAAACTGTCTGGTTGAAAAGTTCATCAAACACAGGCAGCAAGAAGCAGCTGCTGCCAAGGAGGCCGTAGGAGACATGAAGGTTTCTGGTTGTTATGTGGGAAAAAAGACTATTTGGTTGTGTTGTTTTGCAGTTTGTTATTTGCCAAATAAACAACAACAGCATTTTTAGTTTTAAACAAGTTTTTGAAAGATTCCTAAAGTATTTATGGCAGGTGGTCTAGTAGATGTGTTCACCACTGACCATACTGTGACCAGTAAGGCTGGATTAGAATGGCTCTGGGTGAGGCATCACATTTTTCTCTCCTCCCTGATTGACCCTCTTCAGAGGTTCTGTAGGCAGGACCCCGGGGCAGACACAGAACTTTCTACATGATGATGATGACGTCACGTCTCTGGTTTGGGAATGTGATGGAGGATGAAGGAAATTTAAATTCTATCACTGAATAGTGAAAAAAGAGCAGCACAGTCACATTTCTCCACACATTCATGATTAGATGCTGGAGTGGTTTAGATCGTACAGATAAACACTGGTTTTGTTTATTTCCTCTCTACCTGTGTTTCTTGGCCTGTTAAGGTTCTGTAGGGATGGCAGCCTGGCATGTTCTGTTATAACTGACAGAGATAATGGACAAAACTATAAAAATGTACGACAGACACTTTCCTTGGTGGTGATTTTAGAGCTAGAGGACGTCATGCAGCCGTGGTTGGACAGTGAACGCCTGCATCCTGATGAGGTGGTTGGACTGTGTAGGCACCACTCTATCAGACATGGTTTAATATGGGGAATATGTCTCATACGTTCATATTTTTGCAGATGTAAACCCTAAAAACCAACACCTCAGACCTTTTCATGTGTGGAGCTAATTCAGATGAGACAGTTTGGATGGCGTGATGTGTTTGAGAGGGTTCAGAACCTCTGCTCTTTAGCTAAACACTCATGGCTCACTAGGAGGTGCAGCGCTGGCCTGTCTTCAGCAGCTCTACCTGATGGGTGAACGGTGGGCTGTCAGTGTCTCTTTCCAGCAGCATTAGCACCAGCAGGAGTTATCTGAAGTTACAATGCACTATTTAACATACATAATCTCTAAATCCCATTATGCTCAGTGTGTATTACACTGCATTTAATCCATGGCTATTGATAACTACTTCTGGCAGACTTGTTGGCACAGCGAGCAGGCACAGATGAATAAATCCGGCGGAAACTCTGTGATTGGGCCTCCCCGCGCTGTGAAGCTCCTCTGTCAGTCTGATTGCTGCTGCTCGCCTGCCTCTCACACAGCCTTGGAGCTAAAGGCTTCTCGAGTTGATGTGACTTATCTGTGACTGATATTTGGATTGTGTGTGAGGGGATCAGAGCCCATTAGAGTGTTAAGAGCTGAAGGAATCGTGCAGGAACACAGTAAGTGGCTCGCCCAGCAGGGCTCAGGCTGCACCTGCTGGCAAGGCAACGCTGGAGCTGCAGCTCTGCTCGTACGGCGGCGGTTAGACGGAGCAATGCTGCGATGTGACTGCATCCAGACAAAGTCAATGCTGTTGTTTGTTTCTTCAGGGCTGTTAAAGCTGAGACAGACCACTCAACTCAGTAGAAAATGTGTCGGCAGCGTTTGATCCCCTCCTGCCATCAAGTCATATTCATGATTTCTTTAATACTAACCAGCACAATACCTGTACAGTGACGGCATTCCCATCATCAGCCTCAGCGGTGTTAATTCAGCAACGTTAGCACTTCTGTGCTTGTTATAATCGAGCAGCACACGGCCGCTCCCTCACACATTTAAACTGCAGTGAAAACAGAAGACAGCGACAACAGAAACCGTCCTCACAGCTTCTGTGGCTGATGCTTGTTTCTAAAGAAGGATGCATTATGTAGTGGTGGAGTGACAAAATCACAGCGAGGATGACGCGTCCCGTCCAAACAGATGGGATGCCAGATGGAAAAATGAACAGCTGTGTCTCGCACATCACATCAGCATCCATCTCAAGCTGAAAACACGCTTCTCATGAGCTCGTGGTTCGTTTGAGGCCTTTTCTGACTCTGAACTATGAACGTGTTACTGAGCCTTAGATTACTTGATCGTTGGATCTTCTTTAAGCTATCTTACTGTGTGCTTTCTGACTCTGTGCACCTGGCTGCACCACTGTTTGATCAGATGGACGTTGGGCAGTTCCATGTTGGCAAGCAGAAACCATCGTGGGTTAAGCTGGCAATGGGGGACCACGACAAAGACATCTGTGGTGATTAATGACTTCTGGCCAGACCTGACGTTCTCCAGACAAGCAGGAAGCTCCAGGGACGATGTTCTGATGGTGCAGTCCAACCCAGTTCCCTGATCAGTACAGCTGCCTTTCTCTATATTCCAGTGTGAGGAAGATGTTGGACGATAGTTTGCCTTGAAACTGAGAATGACAATCACCCAGAATCCTCACCGACGTTTTTGTGTGTTTAAAACTAGTGATGCACGATATTAAAATGTCTGGCCGATACCGATATCCGATATTAAGATTTCTGATATCGCCAATAACCGATATTACAGATGTCGATATTCGATTTTTGTTGACACTGAAAAAAGACTGTATGTAAGCACCGTGAGAAAACTATTCCAAAGACGCCCAGATTAGACCACATGGTCTTCTTTATTACGTAACAACAGTAAAACACATTTAAACATATTTTAATATATTTAAGTCCAGGATCATTTCAGTAGAAACATCTGTGAAACAGCAGCGATATCAAACGTAGAGACGAAGGCGCTGATGTTGGACAATCATTGGTTTTTCACATCTGCTAAATTTGTTCATCAGACCAATATGGGAAAAAACACTAATATCAGCCGATACCGATGTGGTCGCCGATATATCGTGCATCCCTACTTAAAACTCCAGTGTCGTGATGACATCAGTGTCCAGATACCTTGTCCAGTGTCACTTGGGTGACACCAGTTTGTGGACTCTACCACTCTAGTGTTCGGTGTACTTCTCTGCTGCATCCACAAAGGAAACAGGTAATGTTTGATTAGCCTGATTTACACCTTTGCAAAAATGCATGTGTTGTTTTCTGGGGACACATTTCAACGAGAGTGATGGTGTGTTTCTGGTGACCTAAACGCTGTGTTTGATTGTGAGCACCACCACTGCTGCTGCTGCCAACATGCTGCTCACGCTGTAGGAACGCTAGAAGATCGACCATCCTGCAGTCTGATCACTTAGCATTTGCTTGCA